ACACACACACACACACACACACACACACAGATGTGCCCACAGATACTCATTCATCCAGCTGGTGCTGGCAGGCAGGGGCCAGAGTGTCCCACCGAGGGGGCCCAGCTCTCTGGCTTGTAGGGCTTCTTCCCGTCTTGGGAGTAAGTTCGCGGGCCAACACCAAGAGGCCCCAGGCCGTAGGCGGACATTGTCCGTGTACTGTAGGAAGTTAAGGGGCCGCCGGCCTTGCTGGGTTTCTGTCCTCTGCTCATGGCTCAGAGAGGAGCAGCTGTAAGATAGTGTAGCGTGACAACATCAAATGCCTTCAATTCCACCAGGAGAACCCTTTTTTGTGCTATTTAGTAAGCCACCAATGTCCCCAGTGTGAGCCCGGTTCTCATCACCGAGGACTCCGCTCCCAGCTGTGCTGCCCTCAGCTTCCTGGGAAAGAGCCTCCTGAGAGGATGGCGCTGGCCCCCTCGCCCCTGGACCCAAGCTCATGCCCGTTTATACCACACTTGTTTGTGCACAAATATTTTTAAGTGCTGCAGGGAGATTCTAGCTAGTTTGCTGTGAGACGGCTGGGGAGACCTGTCTGCATTCAGGGCGTTGTGCTTTTCCCCTCGCAGATCAGGGGTGCCCGCACCCCACGTTTCTCAGCAGAGGAGGTCCCACAGGGAGGCTTGGAGCTCACTGGTCCAGGGCTTGGCACATAATAGGGCCCCATGTCTTTGAATGGGCTCTCAGAATCACAGAAAAGAAAGACGCCTTGGTTTGGGGACAGCTTGTCTGTGCTTGGGTGCCTTTGAGAATCTTAGGCGCAGGCGTACAGACTGAGACTCAGACAGAGTGAGTTGACAGTGGTCACACAGCACTTTGTTGATCAAGCTTTGTCATCCAGCAGCCTGACTCCAGATTCGTAGTCTGACCCCCACACTCGTGTACTTGGGAGTCTCCCAGGGCAGGTTGCTACCCCACAGTTGTGCGTGTGTGTGTGGATTTGGAGGGCACAGGTTCATGCGTGCGGGGTCACGCCCGCATCATCTCTGGCGAGTGTGAGGGGGTCCCTGGCCAAATCCCCCCAGGCGCTCACCTCCTCCACACCCCCAGGGCACGCCGGCCGACGTCCTGTACAAGGGCACCATCACCAGGATCATTGGTGAAGACAGTCCGAGTCGCCTGGATCGCAGCCGGGAGGACGGCCTGCCCAAGGGCCACGTCATCTACGAGGGCAAGAAGGGCCATGTGCTGTCCTACGAGGGTGAGTTCTGCCATGAACAGCTGCAAGGAGCAGGCGGGGCGCCCTGGGGCTCCCCTCTCTCCCGTTCACAGGACCTTTGCTGCCCAGGAAAGACTTGAGGGCACAGAGGACTCTTGGGACCCGGGAGGAGAGCTAGTCATTGATCGGTCACTTGGCATTTCCTGGGAGCCGACCACATGCCGGGGGCTGGGGCGCAGCACCTGAAGGCCCCCCAGAGAGCCCAGGATGCCTGCGTGAGCCGCAGATAGGAGGGCACCTTGTTAGTTCTGGGTCATGGAAACCTACTCTGTCCAGTGGGGCTCGTCCACCCAGCCCCAGGCTTCGGTGTTTCTGGAGCTGGTCAAGAGAAAAGGGTCCAGAAAAGCGTGACTGGGGCGAAAGGGCAGCCAGATGTCTTCGGAAAACAAGTCTAGGGGAGCGTGTGCCCCTCGTCAGCCTCGAGTGGTTGGAGCTGGGGGAAGGGTTTGTTCCGTTAGGGGTGAGAAAGCTAGGGCACAGCGACGCCCAGGGCTCCTCCGTCAGTGTGGCCACCCTTCTGGCCCCGGATCAGGGGAGGAGGGTGTTGGCCCATTGAGGTGGCTTCACAAGGAGGCAGGGCTGGGTGACACCAGGAAGCACATGGAGACAGGCGGGGACCTCCCTACCCCTACGGGTATGCCCGCGGGCAGCAGGTCAGGGTTGGCTTAGCTGCCTCGCACCTCTGTCCCGCTCTTTAGAATTTAGGAAACCAACTCGTAGCCAGCCTCGCTAGATGCATGGTGGGGGGACGAAGGCCCCGACAGCGGAAGCCCAGACCTCCAGCCCCGCACTTCCGGCAAACACTGTGCTCTCTGATTGACATCATGTGGGTGGCCACAGAGGGGTGATGACCGGAGTGACTCTCCACCCCGCCTTGCACCCCAGGTCCCCTGCTTCAGTGCCCCTCCCCCCATCTCCCTTTCTGGTTCTGGGTCCCACAACCGAGGAGTTAAGGAAGTAAAAGTCTGGGACCTGAGTTTCCTGGCAGCCTTTTATCTTCACACTCCCAGGGGTGTGAAGATAAAAGCTGCTAATGGGCGCCCCTCTCAGAGGCTGGCAGCTGAGGGGCCCTGAATTGCTTCTCCTCTGGCCCTCCTCGGCCTGGCCCCCTACCCCACACACACACTCTGGTCTTGGGAAGTGGAGGCGGCACCATGTGGCTTGGGCACATGCCTCTCTCTCTGTGCTGCCAAGTGGTAGAGACAGTCTTGGGTTCAGGCCGTCAGCAGCGTCTTCAGCGCCAGCCTCAGTACCCGGCTGAGTGCCTCGGAGGACAATGGCACGGAGCTCTGGGAAGGGCTGAGGGAGGGCCTGGCGGTCCAGGCGCTGTGGGCAGAGCGCCCTGGGTGGAATGTCCACTCAGGCCGCAGACCGGCTCCTGAGCCTCTGTGGTGAAGTTTGTCATGTGCAAAATGGATTAAAATCGGGGCATTTATTTCTCCTGCTTCCTGGGGCCGAGTGGTTGACAAGGCGGTTGACAGGCAGCAGGCCGGCTGTAGGGAGGAGGGAGCGGGGAAGCCTGGTGATCTGGCGATCTGGAGAGCGAAGGTGGTGTCTCCAGGGGCTCCTGCCACCGGTCACCAGGATCTGATTGTCGCTCCGTTCAAATGTGAGCCCACCAGCCAGACTTCTCGTCAACTCTGTTTCCATCTGAAACCTCCCAGTGGTTAAACATCCGCAATTAATTCTGAACAAAAACTAGAGTCGCCACACAGCGTGTCCACTGGTTCCCAAGCTCGGGGGTAGCTGATGCTCTGAGATCCCAGAAGGGGACAAGAACAGGAACCTACTAGCTCCTCTGCCCTCCCAGGGCTGCCTCCTGCCTGTTCAGACCCTTGGCCTGTGCGGGGCAGGGAGCCCAGCCTTGTCCCCGGGCCCTCTGGGCTCATCCTGGCTTGGCGAGGCCACCTCTGCCGTGGACACGCCCCCCCCCTTCCCACTCTCCCCCAGACACACGCTGTCCCCTCCGTGGACCCGTCGTAATGTACATGTGTGCACGTGGACACAGGCACACAGGTCTGTGCCCATGGCCTCACTTTGTTCTGTGGCCGGGCACGTGTGCTCACACACACACATGCACATGCACACTCAGAGGCCCACACTGACACGCGTGGTCGTGCATACCCTATGTGTTCACACTACCGCAGTAGCTCTGCTCACATGTGTGTACTCTTGTTCATGTCACATGTCGGTACCTGTGTGTGTGTGTGTGTGTGTGCGCACAGACTCACATGTCTGTGTGTGGTCAAAGGCACACACCTACTTACTGATGGAACAGCTTGACGGGTCGGGGTTCAGGAGGCCTACCTGCCTCTCCCGTGGGTGCACATCCCCTGGTAGGACTGAGGGCCTGGCTGGTTGGCGGGCCCCTGTCCTCAGGCCCCGAGCGGGACCATAGTCCACAGATCCCCTTGAGAGGGCCCACCTGGGCCGGCTGTCAGCCATGTGACGGGTGGGGCCTTGTGGCACGGCCTGCGTGCATGTATGTGAGCCACTGTCGGTCCTGCCCGCCTGCCCCAGCCGTGTGCTGGTGCCGGGCCCTGAGCACGCGATTGCCCTGTGGCCAGCCCCTCACCCTGAGCTCCGCCTGGTTTCCAGGTGGCATGTCTGTGTCCCAGTGCTCCAAGGAGGATGGCAGGGGCAGCTCAGGGCCTCCCCACGAGACGGCCGCCCCCAAGCGCACCTACGACATGATGGAGGGCCGCGTCAGCAGGGCCATCGCCTCAGCCAGCATCGAAGGTGGGTGACCTGCCCCAGGGGCTCCCCACTTACTGGGTTATAGCAGCGAAGGGAGAATTTGTCTCCCAGCGACCCCTGGAGAGAGGTGGTAGGATGGTCAGCCCTGTTTTACGGCTAGGAAAACTGAGGCTGGGTTTTCCTGAGGCTCTGTCTGGGGGCAATGCAGGGCGCAGAGGATGGGACACTTGCTTGCTGGGTCCTGTGCCACCACCACCAGAATCGCGGGCACTGCTGGGAGGGCTGGCTGTACACCCTGGGCCCTGTCACTGCCCAAGGCTGGCTCAGGGACCCATGTAATGACGCTCCTGGCCTCTCCCTCCCAGGTCTCATGGGCCGCGCCATCCCACCTGAGCGACACAGCCCCCACCATCTCAAAGAGCAGCATCACATCCGCGGCTCCATCACGCAAGGTACCACCCCGCCCTCTGGTGCCCTCGTAGCAGCTACAAGTCCTTGGGGTTGTGGTCAAGGTGGGGAGGGGAAGGGAGAGACGCCTGAGGGCCGTGGGAACTCGGATCGGAGGACAGGTCCTTGGAAAGGTGTGCATGTCACGGGTGAAATGCGGAGCGAGGGCGTTGCTTGTTTGAAAATAGAAAAAAAAAGAAAAACTCCACCCGTCCCCTCTACTTTGTAGACTTCATTTATTGAGCACCTGCTGTGTGCTTGGCACTCACCCAAGTGCTTTTTATCTTATCTTACCGGCCAGTTTTGGAGACGATGCAATTGGGAAGAGGATAATGGGTTCAGATAACTCGCCCGGTCCTCCCAGTTGGCCACTGGCGAGCCAGCCACTGTGAGCCCCGATTTATGTTTTTTATCTGTATTATCTCATTGAATGTTCAGTACTGGGTGAGAGGTTTCAGTTAATGTCCCCGTTTTCTGTATGAAGACCCTGGGGCTCCAAGAGTTCAAGTCACGTGCTCAAGGTCACACAGCCAGTGGTGAGACTTTGAACCCAGGTGGCGAGGCTGCAGAGCCCACCGGTGTGGAGGGGCCCCCCCAGTTAGGATGGGCAAGGGGGGTTGCAGGTGTGAGGTCAGCACCCCGTCCTCTTCGGCAGGGATCCCACGGTCCTACGTGGAGGCCCAGGAAGACTACCTGCGCCGGGAGGCCAAGCTCCTGAAGCGTGAGGGTACACCGCCGCCGCCCCCGCCACCCCCGCGGGACCTGGCCGAGGCCTACAAGGCCCGGCCCTTGGAGGCCCTGGGACCCCTGAAGCTGAAACCGGCCCATGAGGGCCTGGTGGCGACGGTGAAGGAGGCCGGCCGCTCCATCCACGAGATCCCACGCGAGGAGCTGCGTCGCACGCCCGAGCTGCCCCTCGCCCCGCGGCCACTCAAGGAGGGCTCCATCACGCAGGTACAGCGCGGGCCGGCAGGTGGGCCAAGGTCTGGGGAGGGGAGGGGCACCGCCCTGGCCTCTGCAGATGGGGAAGCTGAGGCCCAGAGAGGTTCAGCACCCCCCGAGCTAAGCGTGTTAGTAAATGGCTGCCGTGGACTGGGTCCTTAGTGGGCCAGGTGCTGCCTGAGCGCGTGGCATCGTGACTGTTGGTTGGCCCTCACGTCAGCACTCGGAGGTAGTTCTCTTACAGTCCTCATCTTATGGGCAAGTAAACTGAAGTTCAGGGAGGTTCAGTGTCTTGTCTGGGGCCACAGAGCAGGCAAATGGCCGTTGTGAATCTCTAAGCCAGATGTCCCCAAGTCTGTAACATCTTTCCCCGGTGGAGCGAGCCCACCCTCCGAGAGGCCCCAGCCTCGTGGGGGAAGGTCAGCGCCGGCGGTGTGAGGAGCAGGTCCATGGGAACCACTGAGGGACGCGGTCCCGTCACGTGGTCAGAGGCGGCGTGCTGTGGCGAGAAGGGAGAGGGAGGCGGGAGTGGTGGGACACTCCCTGAGGGCCGGGGACGGTGTGGCCCTCAGCCGCTGGGCACTTGTGGAGCCATCGGCAAGAGTCCATCATGGAGCCAAGAGGGAGGCCAGCCTGATTCTAGAATATTCTTTCTAAAATCAGGGCGTTTCCCCTCCTTATGGAAGTAATTAAAGCGCTCCTGAATAAACATGGAGTTGTGTTACTTGCAAAGGAAGACACAGGGCTCCACTGTATCTGGGTTTCCCAAACCTGTCCAAACAGGGCGGGGTCCTCTCCCAGGTGACCGGGCTGGGGCCGTGAGCCCTGTTTCTTCAGCTGCCCTTCCTGGCCAGAGAGCAAACATGACCCTCAGCCCTGACCTCGGAGCCTTAAGCCTCAGCGCCGTGGAACCAGATCTGAAGCTCCCAGGCTGCAGTGGGTGTGCCGAGGGCTCCAGACTTGACGGGAGTAAAGATGTTGCCCGCGTGGGGGAGCTGAGCCTCTTTCCAGCAAACCCCACGGGCCAAACAGAGGGTCCCCCACTTGCTCCTGGAAGGGGTGGCCTCTGGACTCTCTGCCTCCTTCTGCGGCCCCCCCAGGTGGCTGTGGGGGCCAGAGCCAGGGCGGGCAGGGCAGTGAGGGGTGTGCTCATCATAGGGACAGCATAGCCCTCCGGCCCCCGACCCTCCAGGCGTGGGGTGTGGCTCCCGTTTTATAGCTGAGCTCTCACCCCTTCTCCCACAGGGAACCCCACTCAAGTACGACACTGGCACGTCCTCCGCCGGCTCCAAGAAGCATGACGTGCGCTCCATCATTGGCAGCCCTGGCCGGACGTTCCCAGCCGTGCACCCGCTGGACGTGATGGCAGACGCCCGGGCGCTGGAACGCGCCTGCTACGAGGAGAGCCTGAAGAGCCGGCCGGGGGCGGTCAGCAGCTCCGGGGGCTCCATCACCCGGGGGGCCCCGGTCATCGTGCCCGAGCTAGGCAAGCCGCGGCAGAGCCCCCTGACCTATGAGGACCACGGGGCACCCTTCACCGGCCACCTGACACGCGGCTCGCCCGTGACCACACGGGAGCCCACCCCACGCCTGCAGGAGGGTATGTGGGGCTTGGGCTGGGGGCGTGGGCGTGGCGTGGGCTCCCGTCTCAGGAAACCACCTCACCATCCACTCTTCAGTTAGGTTGGAATCCAGGGCCATCCAGGGGTCACCGCATCCATTCCATCTGCCAGGCCTCCTCAGCGTTCTCTCGCTCTGCCTCCCCCCACCACCACCACCATGACTTCCCTCCTGGCTTCCCGACAACCCTCCTGTCCTGATAATTTGCTCCTCAAACAGCAGCCAGATACTTCTTTGAAAAATTTACATCACATTATGCCACTCTCCTGCTCAAATCTTTGTAGTGACTCCTCAGTGCACTCACAAGGAAAATGAACCTTTTCTGCCGTGGCCTCGGGGCCCTGCGGGATGTGTCCTGCTCACCGGCAGCCCCCGGCTTGGCCAAACACGCCTTCTCTCAGCTCCCTGACCACGCTCAGTGCGTTCTTCACCCCGGGGCCTTTGCACATGCTATTCCCTCTGCCTGAAATGCCCCCCACCTTCCATATCTGGCTTCTTTCCATCTTTCAGGCCTCTGTCCAAATGTCACATCCTCAGGGAGGCTTCTTATGACCAAACACCCCTTCCTCCCATCCTGGTCACATTCTTCCACATTTACAATTGTTCTTCAAAGCATTTGTCACTCTGAAGTTCCAATTTGATGACTAGTTTATCATCTGCCTCCTGCACTAAATGTCAGCTCCCTGAAAGCCGGGGGTTTTGCGTTTTGTCTGTCCACTGGCGTAGTCCAGGCTCTTAGAACAGTGCTTGGCAAGTAGTACAGGCTCCGGAAATATATATATATATATTTTTTTGTTGTTGTTGTTGATTGAGTGAATGAATGAATGAAGCAAGGGAACAAATGAAAAGAAGAATGATGAATTTTTTTGAGAACTGTTAAAAAAAGAAGCAAATGAATAAGTGATCCAAAAAAAAAAAATGAACCAAGAGGCAAATGGAGTGTGTGAATGAAGCGGCCTGGTCCCGGGATCCCAGCGACCCCTCCTTCCAATGGCTTCCCGAACACCAGCCTCGGCGGCCCTCGCGTGGGGACTGGGACAACTGGGGCACAGAGGTCTGATGTCATCCCCACTCTACCCGCCCACAGGCAGCCTCTCGTCCAGCAAGGCGTCCCAGGATCGGAAGCTGACGTCGACGCCCCGTGAGATTGCCAAGTCCCCACACAGCACCGTGCCCGAGCACCACCCCCACCCCATCTCACCCTACGAGCACCTGCTCCGCGGCGTGGACCTGTACCGTGGACACATCCCGCTGGCCTTCGACCCCACCTCCATCCCCCGCGGAATCCCCCTGGATGCAGGTGATTGTCCCAAAGCATGGAGTCTGCCCAAGGCCACCTCAGGCACCAGCGAGGCTCTGCCGTGTGGGGAAACTGAGGCCAGGGGGTGGGGAGACCCAACAGTACGGTCATGGGAACAGTCTGGGTTAGAATTTCTCTTGGGAACCTGATGGGGGACATGCTGGGTTAGAGAGTTTCCAGTGGTTTTCTTTTCCTGAGGGACTTGTCAGTGCTTTTAACACTGCAAATGTGTGTCAAGAGGGCTCAGTGAGAACATTCTCAATAAGAGACACTCACTGGTTTTAGGAAGCAAGTGTCTTTCTACTTTTCGGCCTTAATTCTGTTTTGTGGGGGTGTTTGGAGAGCAGCTGCCAGGGTGCGGGAGTGGGGGCGTTCAGACAGGTGCGGCAACATCCTCTGGCAAGATTGGGGCCAGCCTCACCTGGCTCCCTCTCCTGGCAGCCGCTGCCTATTACCTGCCCCGGCACCTGGCCCCCAACCCCACCTATCCGCACCTGTACCCGCCTTACCTCATCCGCGGCTACCCTGACACGGCGGCACTGGAGAACCGCCAGACAATCATCAACGACTACATCACCTCGCAGCAGATGCATCACAACGCGGCCACCGCCATGGCCCAGCGCGCCGACATCCTGCGGGGCCTCTCACCCCGCGAGTCTTCACTTGCGCTCAACTACGCCACCGGCCCGCGAGGTGGGTGTCGTGAGGCGCTCCAGGTGCGTGGGTGGGCAGACCAGACCTCTTCCATCCGGAATTGGCCTGATTCCTGAGCCTGAGCGCCCAGGCTCGCTTAGGCGTGCAAAGGACCCGTGCACGCGTGAGCACACGCTGACTGGGCTGGTGGTGGAGAGCTGTGGGTGCTCGGGGCACAAGCTTGCATCTGATGGCCGTGTGCATCCTGGTGCATACGCAGTCCTTGGAGTTTACAACAAAAGACCAAAATATAGGCTGTTGGGATCGCTGGTTCCCTTGATTTGCAAACAGCCTAAGGTTGCTTTGCATATGCCTATTAAAGTCCTCTGGAAACACTTGTGGAATGTCCTGGAACGCTAGGGTTCAGTTGGAAAACATGGTCACACCGGGTGTTTCAAAGGTGGGGATTGAATTGAGGCTGAAAGCAAAAAGGGCAGAACATGCTCTGCAAGGTGCCAGCCGCAGGACACGACCGCTTCTGGGCTTGGGAGCAACAGGGAGCTGGGACGGAGAACCTGGTCTTCAGAAAAGGGTCCTGTGGGGCCAGCACTTGGACCCAAGGAGGGGATGCCCCGTCGTGCTGTTCTGGTGAGGGCTGTAGGATGGGGGTCCAGCCAGCATGGCCTGGCCCCTCCTCCCCCCGTGGCCACAGCCCCACCCCACCTCCCCCCGCAGGCATCATTGACCTGTCCCAAGTGCCACACCTGCCTGTGCTGGTGCCCCCGACACCAGGCACCCCAGCCACCGCCATGGACCGCCTGGCCTACCTCCCCACCGCACCCCAGCACTTCAGCAGCCGGCTCAGCAGCTCCCCGCTCTCCCCAGGTAACACCTTTACCCCTGCTCCTGGGTCAGGACCCTGGCGTCTGAGGATGTCCTCAGGCAGATGCCGGGCCCCTTCTGTTCCACCCCAGAAGACAAATCCAGGCCCATCCTGGACCCCGGGACTGAGTTGCCGGCCTTTTGGTTTCCAGGAGGCCCCACTCACCTGACGAAACCCACCACCGCGTCCTCATCCGAGAGGGAGCGGGAGCGAGACCGGGACCGGGAGCGTGAACGCGAGCGCGAGAAGACCCTGCTCACGTCCACCAGCACGGTGGAGCACGCGCCTATCTGGAGACCCGGTAGGGCAGCCGAGCCCCGGGCTCGAGCCCCGCCCCGAGCCCCGGGGGTCCCGGCGGGGCCAGGCCCGCCCCTCTGACTCGCGGCCTGTC